CTTGTTTACACCTATGCATTCCTGATCCCTTGGTATGCCATTTGGAATGGTAGGCCAAGTCTAGGCCAAGCAAGGTGTTGTGCGGTATGTGGATTAGGTCAAGATACTCCACCTCTCTGGTCTGGTTGATAACATCGTTCCAACATTATGTTTTAAAAATTATCTTATCTTTCTAATTCTTGGTGAGGCGATCTACTCAACCTTCTTTCCAGTAACGGTTCCACGATCATTGTTATTTTAAACTCATTCAAATGGATCGACGGTGCAATTTTTCTTTTGGAGAGGTCACATTTACGACGACTATGGAGAATAGAGGCATGACAAACAAAGCTGGTATACTTTGGAAAGTTCGAAAACTGGATTTAGCGAGTAGAGTAGCGGTTTGTTTGACAAGCAGTCTGGCCCTCCTCAACTTTGAGCTAGGTAACTAGACCTTCATTGATGGAGGATCTCTAAATCGGCTCTACGAATGGGGCGATGAGATAACTAGCTTCTGCATTGCCCAAATGAAGGGTATGACGACCAACATTCTCAATGTCTTGTTGGTGGTTCAAGAACTCAAATTCCATCATGCTCATGTAATGGCCTGCTACCTTGAGCACGAGGGACTCTCCGGCCTCGAACGTCATTCCAGACGGCCAAATGGGTACTTCAAGCCGATATATCTGATTTGGTTTGACGGCTTTTTCCTTCTGATCGTGGGTATACCTTGGCCAAGCGTGGGGATCTGATGATGGAATGAGAGTGCCGGCGTGGGTGGCTCGAAGAACACCCGTAGGTCCAAGATATTTGAGGAAGCAGCTATTGGGAACCTCCTCGGCACTGGAATTTGGTGGCACAAGTTTATCAAGCGGAACATTCAAGTGTTGCAACAATTCGCCTTCGTTGTTCATCTTTCGCAACTGCACAAAGACGTCCAGATCTTGCGCAATTTCCGCCGAGATATGAAGGACAGCTTTGCTGTAACCTACTAACCAGGTCGGATTCTGGAACTTGTAGCTAAAAAGAAGCTCCTCAGGATTGTGATCAGGTTTGGTAGGCACGAGGTCGGACCGGTATGACAATTGAGATGAATTCACCGGTGGGTCAAGACAGAGCTCTCCAGAACCAGTGAGAAATAGCTTGGTATATCGAGTTTGCGGCACGGGATAGGAATTGAATGCGATGTTCTCAACCGGGCTCTGTAAATTCGCGTGGCAGTCAGTCAACCATTATTGTGGAAGGATCAAAGCAGCTCACGTCATTGAAAGGCAGCAACGAAACTCGGACTCGGGGGGTTGAGGGCCATCCGTTCCCGACATCTTTGGTGTAGAAATCCAAAAATCTGCGTAGATCTTTCGTACTTGCATCCGAATAGAGATCAGACCATTCCTGCTTGGGATGCACTCGTAGCCTAACAGAACCGGTTAGCAAAGATGCATGTATAACCAACCCAGGAACTGAATCCAAGCACACCTTACTCACCATTTCTCCTTGGACCCCAAGGAGTTAAATCCCCCAATGGAGCCACTGGTATGGAGTGAGGTTGAGTAGCTAGCGAGCACATAACATGGTGCGGTCACCCGCTCTAACTTCGCTACTTTGTCCTCCCAGTACCCATTGAAGAGTGGATACTGGGTCAACATTTTGGTAATTGCCTCCACCTTGCCCCTTCCAACCATGGACGACTCTAGGATTTTCCAGAACCGTTGGTAGGGATAGGGTACACCTCCACGAGCGAGAGTGTCTCGGTAAAAGTCACTGGCTCCCTCCCATGGTGCAAAGGCGGCCAGATGAGGAGGCTGTTCTGCAGCAATGAACCATTGGGACATGGCAAGCCAACTGTTGCCAGCAAGTGCCACCTTTCCATTGCACCATTCTAGCTGCGCCACGTATTCAATTGCATCGTATCCATCGCGGCCATCTTGGGATCCTAGCCACCTAGACGGTCTCCTATTAGTATATGGATTATCAAGCTTGCGGACAGGGCAATCGACATACGGGATATCGCCTTCCGAATTCCAACAGCCACGCAGGTCAAAGTTGACAATTGCATAATCATGTCCCACCCAGTCAGCTGGGTCCAATCCTTCAAACTTTTCATAGCCACTTAATCTTTCCTCGGGGACCCCAAATCGACCTTCAATCATGTGGAGTCCATGTGGCCCTGTAGGTTGGTAATATCATTAGTTCAAGGGTCTTCAGCTGAGATTCCTCAAATGACTCTTGCAACTCACCATTGCCACCTTTACCATACGGGCTCCATACCAGGATTGCCGTTACATTGGTTTTGCCCGTGGGCCGAAAGATATCACAGTAAAGCTTGGTGCCATCCCTCATAGGAACGGCCACATCTCGTTCAAAGAGAGTTTCCACCGGGAAGGCAGCATTTTTCTCGCTTTTCCTAAAGCCCTTGGGCAGTGTTATTGTTGAAGGATGAAAGGGGGCCGACTGGCTAGCAGCCTGATTCTCCGGCACAATAGTCGGGGTTAGGGCAACATCGAAAGAAGCAATTTGGCAGGACATTGTGGAATACAACTCTTGATTGATAGGGATATGAGTGAGTACTTGAGAGTGTTATTCGAACAGAGCACATATGCCTGCCTGTATTTATAATAGGCTGGTCATCCCGTGCAACATGAGTTGACTGGGTATGTGTGGAGAAACCGATTAGGATCCGAAAACAGGCCGGACAATTGAGCTTTCACATCCGCTCGGCACTTGCTCTCATCTTTGAGCAATAATGCGGGGTCAGTCGAACTGTAGAGCGGGCTGATTCCGCAACGGAGAGAACCTGGGGTAGAATCTATGCAAGTGCGGAATCGCCAAATGGGACCGATCGCTACTTCGGAGACAAGAGGGCGGTCACAGTCGGTCTATATATGAGATGCCTTAAACGGAGCAGCATTTATCGTGTCGCTCTTACTCGAAACATTCAACTTCGCAGTGCCCGCATTCTTGCACCCACGATGGCACTACCCATTCATGCTCCACTTCGACGTGTGGTCACTACGCACAATGGCCGCCAATCTTCAGTTCTGTCTGATACCTATCTGAGCCCCACTGATGGTTTCGCTGCCAAAGCGGCGACTATCTGGATCACACATCGGTATCCGGCTGAATTGAAGTCAGCCGATCCCAGTGATGACCTTCGAAGTAGACAGATGTACAGCAGGGGTTCACTGATTCGCGTGGTGGACTTCCCACCCAATTCGACTGGACACAACCACCGGACAATGTCTCTTGACTATGCGATTGTTCTGAGTGGTGAACTTGAAATGCTCCTCGACGATGGATCCAAGACTCGAGTCCAGGCTGGTGATGTCATTGTGCAGCAGGCGGTAGGTTGATTGCCGACATTTCATACATTTCGAAGGCACAAAACCTAATGCGCGATATAGACCATGCACCAGTGGAACAATCCAACTGAAAAACCTACACGTGTCATTTTCGTCCTACTCCCCTCTGAGCCCTTTGTTGTAGGAGATGCCCTTGGGGATGAGGGCATCCCAGAAGCTTTCAGAGTGACAGCGTGATTTGGGCTTTGGCTGCTTGATACTTATTGTTAAGAAATTGATTTGATTTCCTTTCGCCTCTCGGACGCCAAATTAAAGAAAGAAAAAGAAGATGCACTAGCCCTGTTCTCGTACGGAAAGACTCAGTTGTTCTACGGCAAAAACAGGGAGAAACTCCGTGACTATAGATGTGTAACGTGAACGGAAATCGAATATCTTCTTATCATCTAACCTAACGATTGCCTGCCACCTATGCTGTTTCACCATCTCATGTGCTGTGACACTTGAAACCTTCACACCAACATTCATTGAGTCCTAATCAGGCTCCGGTACCGAGCTTCCGATTCTCTTGAATTGCCCGGACGACCAGATCTCTAGTTATTGACAAATCAATTTCACTCTCTTTCCAAGCGAAATATCCAATAGCAAAATAACTTACGTATCCATATACGCGCGAATTTTCACAATCATATTCAGATCATTGAACTCACACACCCAAGTATACTCGTTCGAGAAGACGAGGCCACTTTTACACTTGGTGTCCACGGCCTTCATCTCGACCGCCGCCTGGCGACCATCGCAGACGATGTTTTCAATTTGAAGTTTCAAGGGGCTCGCCCAGGTGGAGCTGAGAGCCTTGGTTCCTTCTTGAAACTCGGCTTTGGAATGGTAATGGCCGGCGATGGGGCAGAACGTGCCTACATGAGTGAACTAAGCAATAGCACATGATCTTGGCACCGGCAATTCCTGTTACCTTTTACCTGCCAATCTACATCGTCAGAAACACTCTCAAAGAAGGCCGCGGCATTTCCCTCTCCGAAAGGGGCGAAAATTTGTCTGACTTGCTCCGTGGTAGGCATCTTAGCGTAGTAAAAGGGCCTTGCAAAACAACTAAGACTTCGGTGTGGCAAAGAGGAAGTGAGTGGGCTTTCAATAAAGCAAACACCTTATACATAGAGCCATTAGAAGGTGGGCCGACACCAATAGATAACTCCCCACCTGCGGAAATAGTTGCGCGAGTTGCCCACCGGAGCCGGCCCCGTTTCAACCGTGCTTCGGTTACGTGTGGGGAGCCCGAAAACCGAAACCTCCTCTCACCAGAACACAGCTAGTCCTGTTAAAGTAGCGTCGAATCCCGACAATACGTACCATACATAAATTGGAACGTTTAAGAACTCTGTCGGATAATTAACCTGGTTTGCAAGCAATCAAAATAATGGGTCTACAAGTGATTGTTGTTGGTGCAGGCTTGGCTGGCCTCGCAGCTGCAATTGCTCTTCATCGTGCGGGCCACGACGTGAAGGTACGTATGAGCCGAGCTGGCTTAGCATTTTCATCAAGCAAATATACTTATACGTATTATCCAATTTAGGTTATCGAACAATCGGGCTTCCACAACGAAGTGGGAGCTGCGATTCACGTCGCCCCCAATGCTACCCGCGTTTTGAAGGACCTTGGCTGTGATTTCAATAGCCTCCATCCCGTTCAATGCAATCGCTTGCAAGTCTGGAGCCCGAATGCCGAGCTTCTCTGGACCCCCGTGGTGCGTTATTCGTCATAGAACTGGAAAACATGGCCCAAAGCGCGCGTCAGATTCTAACGATCCGTGTCATGCATAGGTTACAGAAGACCTACAGAAGTCGCTCGGGACTACCGATGAGTGGGTTCTTACCCATCGCGTCGACCTTCACAACACTTTGCGTGAAGCCGCCGCTCAAACAGTCAGTGGCCGAAAAATCTATATATGCCTTTCGTCGCGCGTCGCATCAGTGGTAAGGATACATACCCCAATGTAGCCAGGCTTACCAATCCTCCACTAATCCCTCCCATTTGCTTCGCGCAGGACGCTGAGGCTGGTACCATCACACTCGAGAATGGGACTGTATACACAGGCGATCTGATTGTCGGAGCCGATGGAATCCATGTAAGAAGCCCCCCTGTCACTGCTACAGACAAGATCGTTGCTCATGCAGTATTGTGATAGTCTCGAGCTGTGAAAGCAATTGTGGGTGAAACGCAAGGAAAGGAGAGCACCGGCCAGAACTGCTTCCGATTCCTCGTTCCGGTGGCAAAGGCACAGGCCAATCCGTTGACAGCTGCACTCCTGGCGAAGACTGGGCTAGATGGCGTTCACGCCATCACCGCTCCGGATCGCCGCCTGGTTGTCTACCCTTGTCGTTCCGGCGAACTTCTTAACATTGTGGCAATTCATCCAGCGGAAACTGAGGAGCCGAAGGAAGCTTCTTGGTTGGAATCCGGTAATCTCGACCACCTGGTCGAAACGTACTCGTCCTTTGGCCCCGAGTGTCAAGAGCTTTGTCGCATGGCTGAGGATCTTAAGCTTTGGAGCTTAGCGTCGCGCACTCCGCCGCAGACTTTCTTCAAGGGCAAACTTGCCTTGGTCGGCGATGCAGCGCATCCGACACTTCCGCGTAAGTTTTACCATGTCACTTCGTCGGGCTCTTTCGTTTATTGATTCATCCCGACTAGACCAGGGTCAAGGCGGCGCGCAGGCGTTTGAGGACGGGGCCGCTTTGGGTGGTGTGTTTCCAGCAGATACCACACCTGATCAAGTGCCCCAGCGCTTGGCGTTGTATAATCAGGTCCGCTACGACCGAGCAGTGACTGTGATGATGATGTCGAAAACCCATGATGAGCGACGAGCGGAGATGCTGGCCGAGCTCCGAGAATACGTCCCTAATGCGGAGTTACCCGCAAACATGTTTTCATTCACCTGGCCATCCCGCCCCGCTGAGGATGCCAGGCGTCTGCTGGCCGAGCAAACTGTCTAGAATGCGCTTGGCTGCCCCTGTCTTTTCCGGAACAGTGGCATTTTCTGTTTCTGTTTCTTTTTGACCTCAGGGCACTGACGTATCGAGCCAATCCATCCAAATAGATCTTCCTACGTAGCTTCTCACAGCGAGCTTTATCATATCTAGGTTTCGGTGTGGTCGCAGGAGCAGTGTCTGAACCAAGGTAGATTCCCTTGCGCTCCAGATCCGAATTTTATTACTTTTCGATTCGGAGACTGATTGGAAATCAGTTCGAAATTCATCTTGTATGCATATATATACCGTCTTGTGTTCCGACGAGAACTAGAGTCATTTATCTTCCTCTGAACTACAACAATAACATTAGTGAAGGGAAAAAAAGAAGAGCGATCAACACTTAGCAATTTCTGTGATGATGTCCAACAAGATACTTTAAATTCATTATTGTGTATTGTTGAGGCTTTGTGGTACCCGAGATGTGGGCAGCCGATATGATCAAAGGCGCTAGTGCAGAATTCAGTGATCCCGTGACTTGGTCCACGGCGCTCATTGCCAACATTTTGTGGAGAGGGCGGAACTTCCCAAAAGGCAGGTTACTCCAACTTGACCTTCTGTCCTATTCCGGCATGTCGCCCTGTCATGGTGAGCAAAGTTGCAAACACCAGCCATGCAAGCCGGTCTATTTCATTGTGAGCACTGCAGCGGTTCATTCAACCGACGGGAACATTATCAGCGACACCTTCTTACCCACACAAAAGAACGACCATTTGTGAGTTCCACGCCATTTGCCCCGGTGGGCCCTTTGTTATCTTGCTTCTATCGGAAGTAGCTCACCACCCATAGTCGTGCGCAGAATGCGGCCACTGTTTTGCCCGAGTGTACGTTGATTTATCATGCCAGATTCGCACTGTGTTCACTTCCGAAGCAATGTTGACAGTACCCGTAGGGACGCCTTGACTCGACATTACGCCCTCGTGCATACCCAGACCCATGCTGGGGGTGAAGCAGAACGACGACGCGTGGCCCAGGCCTGCAAACCGTGCAACTTAGCAAAACTTCGATGTGATGGGCAACGACCCTGCGGCCGCTGCCGCCGATGCGGCGATCAATGCTATTACGAAGAACGCCAGAAGCGCCGAACCACGGCGCGTCCCTCATCTTCCTCCCTCCCACAAAGTAAACGGCATCAAGCGCAAGCGCCCAGTCTCGGCAACGAGATACAGTCGCCTTCCTCAATCCAAAGGGACCAGTTTCAGAATCCGGATACATACACGACTTGCATCACAGACAATGAAGTGATGACTGGCATGAACGTGGAACGTCACTCACTGTCTCAATGCTCAACCGGCTTGCCAGACCCAAACAGCTTCCTTAAGGATCGGCTTGACGAAGCGACTACTCAGAATACAGCGCTCAACGATGAGCAACCCCCGGAGCCTCGCCCTCCGAGATGGGAAACTTTGCTCGGTGTCGAGGACTTGGATATCGGGGCGGGCTTGGATGCTACTATATGGTCGGACGTCTTAGATTCTCATTCATCCTTGCGCTTCGATAATATCTGGCTGGCTTCAACCCAGCCCCCGATGATGCCAGATATTGAAGCAGGTCCTTCTCAGATGCCCACTCCCCTTACACCCACAACTCTAGCCGCAATTTACAATCGAGGGTGCTCACCTAGACCCGTCGACCCAGAGGCCATTGAGCCCCGTCAATACCACCCCACGGTAATTGATATCGACGCGCAGTTGGCGTTCCCGGACCTACAGCAGACCAGCACGGTACATATTGACTTCGAGGATCTAGCCCATGTCCAGGAAACACAACAGGATGTCGTCGATCAGGTGACCAAACTAGCAGCGGACTTGGAGTCAAAACCACTGTTTCCGCCCTTTCGGGCGCTCAGAATTCCGCCTGCTTCAATTCTCAACGCGTGGACACAGCTCTATTTCGAGCATTTCCACCCTATCTTCCCAATTCTTCACAAAGCCTCGTTTGGATACCCTGATACCCATTGGCTTTTGGTCTTCACCGTCAGCGCTATCGGTGCCCAGTTTTCTCGGATTTCTCACGCACAGACGTGCTCGAGAGCCATGCATGAGATGATTCGTCGACAATCGATGTATCTAGTAAGTTCTAGGCGCTCTCCCCAAGACATGTCCTCAGAGAGTCCGCCATTATCTATGTTCAATTGTAACCCTCCTTAGTGCGAGAATCAAAACAAGAATGGCCGAGAGATATGGCTTACGCAGGTGATTTTACTCAATCATATTGGTTTGAGATACTCTGGAGAGCGAAGAGCTCTAGAAATCGCAGAGCTCTTGCAGGCACTCCCAGTTACTTTAGCCCGGCGCAAGCAACTTTTCACGAATATTTTGTCGACAAGAAAATTATCAGAGCTAGATCTCTCTCTCCGCCAGAAATGGCAGATATGGAATCTCGATGACGAACGCAGGCGCGTTGGGTTCGCCATATGGGTCAGTCTACAGATGATGTTCGGTCTACATCAGCTACAGCCAAATACTCACAGTTTAACCAGCTTGTTGATTCATTTTTTCAAAGCCATTTTGATCTCACGCCAGTCTTGTCGGTTGGAGAACTTAATAATTTTCTTCCCCGTGGTGAGGACCGTTGGTCTGCTATGAGCGCTGGGGGCTGGGCCAGCTATTCTACCCACTTTGGTTCGTTTGCCATCCCTGTTCTTCGTCGTCCGTCAAGTCATCATGAAACCGTATCTCACGTTTGTCTAGAATCGGAAGGTCACCTCACACTTCAGCAGGTTATCGCGGATGGTACCTGGGTAGCCGCTTGGAATACGACCGGTGTGATCGGCAAGCAGGTGCTTCTTCAGCTGTTAATGAACATTGTATCCTACAATACGGAACACGTATTATCATGCCAGGCTCGATCAACCTTGACTCAATCTGATGCCGAGGGGCTACTTAAGCACTTTTTGGCAGCATTAGAGGACGAAGAAGTGTCAGGGACCTCAGCGGCGGAGCAAAAGGCCTGCAGCACCTACAGGCTCATGATATTCTCTACTTTAATGTCTCGCAATTCCCCTCGATTCTCGCTCCTTGCTACGAGCATGCGTATCCGATATCAGCATTGCGATGATAACGAACTTGGTGAACTGGCCAAAGAATGGAATAAAGCACCACAGGAGCGTCGACGAGCCGCATTACATGCTGCGCAGGTCATTGAATCCGTACGTAGCCAGTATTGTGCGCATTTTTCCACTCCAGTGCTGTTGTTTCGCGCCACTTTGACGCTGTGGCTCTATACTATCCTCGATCGTACATCGTCAGACCAACAGGATACAGCTGCGTCATCAGTGGTTTTGGGCGGTTCAGTCATGTGCGATTCAACTCAAGAGCGTTGGGTGGAATCCGGGAACGGTCGTGTCAAGCTGAAAGGAGTCGGGAATATCTCTGCTCCAGATGGCCGTAAGCGACTGTTAGATGAGTCAATTTCAGTCATGCACACCCTCCGCTCATGGGGCATCAGCACAATATATGGACAATTATTGTGTCAATTACGAGAAGCTTAGCAAAAACACATTGCGCTATGCTGCACAGCCGATGATTTAAGACTCATATCCAAACCAAACTATTGACACTTGTGCCAAGCACTCCTGTTACGACCGTTAAAGCTTAAGGTTCAAGAGAACGTATTGGTTTCGGAAAGAATATAGCTCATTAGTGTAGATGTCAAATGAAACGTGTTTCTGCTATGATACGGGACAGCTTGCCCGTGTGGTACCGAAAAGTCCTAATAATGCATATCAGCAACAATGGTATATATACATCGGATGTTCGAGGTCCGTCAAACAGATTGACAATGAAACGACCATCACAAGAGATTAAATCTGCGTGTTTAGAATAGTTCAAATCAGAATGAGTCATGGACTTTTCAGGCATAGAGCTTCAGAAGAATTGGTAAAGCTGATTTATTGATTATGCCGTTGAGGTCATTTGGTGGGTCTGTTCCAAAACTCGGCTCTCCACATCGGCTCTCCACATTGGGTTACTATGAACTTGATCGTCAAAGGAATTACTATTTATGTATTGCGAACGTCTCAAACCTAAATTGAGAGGCGATTGCCGGGACTAGTATGACCTAAAATTGAGTTCTCACGATTGAACAGGTATTGATCAACCCGTGCTGGGTTGTATGAAGGCGTGTAGAAGGATGACTCCTGGTCTGTGTCGTCGGCCCTACACTGTCTCACTGTTTTCTTCTTAACAAGGAAGTCTAGAGTTATGGATACGTAGCTATTACTTTTACCGTCCTACACTTGGTTGATTGGTTGGTTGTCATCTATCCTGATCCCTCGCAAAGAAGGATATGCAGGCTATCTCAACTATATCTATCCCCTGTACGTACATGTAGAGTGTGCCACTTCCCGAAAACAAACTTAAGTGTCTCATCAAAATCTGCCGTGGCCTTTAGCTGCCCCTGTGGCGCGCGACTTCGGAACCGTTGTGATACTTAGCAAGCCAATACCGCCACTCCGCAACAATTAAGATTTTTCAGTCTATTTACTGTAATGCTATCCACCTACGCTATTAGAATTTTGCACCCTTTATGTATTAGTTTCCTTGGTTCAGTAGAAATCACCTGAGATAACAAAGACAAAAGGCCTCTAAGCAGATACGCTCTCTAATATACTCAGACTCGCCGTAACCCTGTTGCAAGACAACATCGGAATCTTCGATTGGTTCCTTCGGCACAAGCAATCCTATCTGTCTCGTCCATGCCTCCACCGTGCTCACGGAGGATATAAAGTGGATATGCGCATTGTGCCGGCTTTGCAGACTGAAATCGATAAAATTGCGCACTCCATTGATGTGTGTCTCGAAAGATTCCACCGATTGGTAAAAACTAACCTTCCAGGCGTTGTAGATTACAGTATCTGCCAGGCCGGCCATCTCCTCGTATTTCGCCCGTTCCAGATCGAACTGAGGTTTGCCCAGTAAAACTTGGAGAAACTCAATTTTAGCTCACTCATCCGGTTGACACACCAAGACCCTTCTTGCTGAAAGAATTATTCTGGCGAGTTTCGGCATCCGAGCGGTTGAGACGGTAGACTTTTGCAATCGTTAGTCTTAATAAGATCATGCAGAAGGTATTTTCCCAGAGATCCAGTAGAGCCAGTCAAAACCACGACAGAGGGGGTTTCAGTTTGGCTTGGAATGTCACGGACGGTGACCAGCCCCCGATGACCTTCCTTCGTGATACCCTATGACCTAACTACCCGATCGGGACCAGCTCCTGAATAGCTTCACAACCTAGCTTAGTTTCTTCGTTGAATGCATACCCTACATTCTCGCGATTCCTTATCGCCAGCGTAGCCGTTCGTCACATGAAAGTTGTTTGTCACAGTTTACAATGAGACTGGCGGTGTATTTTTTGGATCAACTGATGGATCTTTTCATTGCGAGGGATGTTATTATCAATCGTGCCTTCCAGTATTTCCTGGATGAATCGAGCCAGATCCTCTACCGTTTGGGTTTGCGTGGACGACTTGGGGGGTGATCGTCCCCTCCTTCGTCTCTAGCCGATGCTGTTGAAGTCCTCGCTGCAAGATTTTGGCAATTTGAATCGTCGTGAGAGAATCGAGTCCAGCATTGTGAATATTCTGATCATTGAGGAAACAAGATTTACCAGATTTCCGAGAAACTGTTTGATGAACATAATTCACGATGCTCGAGCGATCTGTAGTTTCAGGGAATGGCACATTCAGGTCAAAAGCCAGATCGGCATCATAATCCCGGAGTATAGCTTGCCGCTGCACTGTACCCTTTGCAGTCGTTTTGAAGGGCTTGATATTTGAGGCAAGTCCAATCCTCTATTTCAGGATTCGCCCATGGGCGGCGACAGCACGATTATCTTCTTGAACTGTCGGCCAAACTTCCTCGATAAAAGTATTGTGAGACATTTCCGGACCGTCAGTAATTAGTTGAATAAGCAAGCCAGCCTGAAACCTAGATTGATCGATAACCACGGCTTTCAAGACAAGAGGATGTCCCTCGATAGTTTTCTCCATATTCACTGGGTTGAATTTCTCTTCATTGCTGAGAACGATCACATCGTCAAATCTTCCATGGAACTTCCATAAGTGAGGATTCGTAGGATGTCTCGTGTACAGATCGTTAGTTCTGTACACATCCTGGTCGGGGAAGGTATGAAAAATGGCTTGAACATTGCGTGAGTGTTCTCTACGAGTGAATTCCATCTCAAACAAGTCGTCTCCTCGAGCTTGCATTTCAATTCCATAAGATGGTTTATTCAAAGTAGGCCCGATCTTCTTTGCTTTCTAGCACCAACGCTGGAAGCCAACCCATTTTTGAGGATCCGATAACAGATACGACCTGTACATGCTGGCGTAGGCGATGACCCGAATCAAGCGCCAATGGCGCAACCCCGAAGAATACACTCCGGAGTGTCCCGAGAGACTTAAGCGCCTTTTCTGAATGGCTCATGTCCTCCAAGACTGATGGCGGGAAAAATCCAGCTGTCGGACTAGTTTATTCAATAAGTTCAACTAAATGGTCTACTGAGAGTGGTTTCTCGGGGCCAATCGAGACAGGGACATTGTGGAAGATATTGACATAACGAATGAGATAAGGCCCATTAAATGGAAGAAAGAGGTTGTTGCAAGAACGATCTCCTTCTGACCATAGTTGTAGAACGCGGCTGGTTGTCGAGACTTGGGCCAGGGTAGTCGCGAGAACTCGTCGTTGCACTGGAAGAATCCGTTGGTCAGGGGTACAAGCTTTGGCATGCCTAATTATTTTGGAAAATCTCCACATTCGGGCACAGTTCTTGGATTTCGAGGACTCGAGTGCGCCGCTCTTCGCTAAAGAAGATCTTTGGTGAAGTAAGCTGCTTTAAGCAGGTGAACATGAGCATCATCAGAGTTTCTTGTAGAAGGTAAAATGCCTATATGTACAACGGTTCAGCCAGGTTGACATCAGTATTTACGTCAACTTTTACACACCTTATAGCCCAATTTCTGACACGCGAGGACGAACACGTAGTATCGGACATCGTTTATCCCGATATAAGCCAGCCTCTCCTGGGAGATTGCCGGTCCAATGGCCTTTTCAATCCACCAGCAAAGAGGAGTGACGACATGAGCCAATTCCTTCATCGTCGGATTCTGGAAGCCATCGGATACGTTCAGGTCCCGTAGAATGACTGCAAACAGTCTCTCTGGCTCACGCTGAGCGGCATAATCTACAACTCTCGACAGAAGTCTTCTTCCCGTGGGCTCCATGACTTTCCTTGTTATGAAGAGCTTTGTAAAGAATAATTCAGGCACGTTAGAAGAAGACAGAGGCACTCGAAAGTTTTCCGGTCGAGGATTCAAGCTTTTTATAGCTGTCGTTTGTTTTGCTTGATCATCAAGCAAGATCTGAGATCAACGCGTTTCTTTCCCGATCTGGACTACTCGAAGCCCATCGGTAAGACTGAGGAAGATCTTACCTTCATAATCCACTATCCAGCCTTTATCGGGACCCACTCATGTCACTATGCTTGATTTCAATGGCATAAGGTTGGCATGCACAGGATGGAAACTCGGAAAGCTAACGACATGATCTATACATAGTATCGCTGACGGTATTCCGAGATGACCCGAGTACCGCCACGAGCCCAGGTAATTGTACCAACCATGTCATTATGGCCACGTTTGATTGAATCATTTTATGTCTGGGGTCTTCAAGTGTAGGCTCTTCTTGCTCGGAGGAGAGATTGGTAATCTGGACAGAGGAAGCGCATATCCTAATGAAGTATAAGAGACTTTGCACCAGCTAAAAGAAACAAAAACTACTGGTGAGCGTTGGTCCTTAAGCATGCCAGTTATATACCGCTCTAAACACCATGCAGACAACACAGTCCCTGATTCACTCTCTATAAGCACACAATCAGATGGAATACATGGGACAAGATATCTACCCCGCCGTCAGAGTCTCACATCCATCTGATTAATGACCCTATCATATTGGACTTCTTTCTGTTTTAATTAAAACTTTAATGGATTCCCTCAAGCATAGCTGATATGCGAGCAGAATTCCCGTCGAATTTACTCTTTATCCAGAAGATCCTCCACATCAATATGCAAGTATATTCTGGACAATGTTTGAGGTATCAATTATTTTCTGAGCTCGATTGCTCTTACTACCGTCTGGTCATCAAGATCTCTCTTTTTGTTTCTGATCTCCATGGCTGACTCTAATACAAATACTTTGCCTGTTTTTACGTGAGTACATTGATTATGTTCATGGACCAAAAACTAATATTTAAAAGGGTAGTTCATAAACAGTGGATTGCCTCGAGGTCTTTCTTATTGTATATATAATTTCGATAAAGCAGATCGTATTACTCATAACGAGTTGTATAGCATCGGCCATTCCTAGCACCCATTTAATAGATATATGAATCAATCCCGCAACTACCTCGAAAGCCCACGCACACCATTTCACATAACATGGTGTACTATACCCCCAAAACCATCGAAACTAATAAACTATAACAGCCTTTCTGTTCTCTTTCGTAGCCAAGGGCCCGCAAAATAAAGTGGCAAACCTAAAGCAATCACGATCCACTGGATGCCCGCGAATTCATAAAACATCTTATCGACTCCTTCGCGCGCCATCCAGGATACCGACCCTTTCGATAATCCAAATGCCACGACGTTCTTACTAGCGTTGACCAAAACCAATGCCTCGCCACTTGTGTGCGGATATGAATCCACTACATATGAGAGCATCACGGAAGGCACGAGCGTCAGGCCCGCAGCTGCCATCGCCTGACCGACCGCTGGTACAGCGTAGTGCATGTGTTTGGAAATAGTATATCCGAAAACAATGAGTCCGATGGGACTGATGATGAAGGGAACGATCAGGGCGGGAATACGGTGTTCGGGTTTATGGATGTCGTTGTTGCGGTTGCGCATCCATTGCGAGAGGTAGTCGGTTAACGGGCCAGCGATAGGAAAGACGATCAAGATACCGATGAAGCTACTGAGCGCGAACAAACCCAGAGCAGAAGAAGAAAAGAGATACGGAGGCGGCGAAAGAAGCGACGGACAGAGTGTTGATATGGACACGACCCTACACTCCTTGTCAGACAATATGTCATCCTAAGGTGTAAACAAGCCACTTACGCTCCCAGGATAACCCCATACATTCCCGACGCCAGCAGCACCCCAGGAACCAGAAGCATCGGTGCCGGCAGACAGAATTGATACAAGAAATGCTTAAGGGGCCCCTTCTGATGCGCTTCTTTGGATAGACGAACAATAAACAGTCTCTTCCAGTAGGTAGCGTAGTCAAAAGAGGGACGGTCGGCGGGGATGCTGGCGGTCTCGACATGGGTATGTGCATCTTTCTTGAGATCAGTCGGCGGTTCCTCCTCGTTACGCTCGTACGTGGTCTCAGGTAGCAAGAAAAAGGTCGTGACAAGGTTAACGGCGGCAAGGATTAAACAGAGGATGAAAAACCAGCGCCATCCTCGAGCAGCAACAAGATATCCTGCTATCACGGGTCCGATCTGAGATCCACCGGAGAGGAACAGGGCATAGGTGGCCATGGCACTGGCATAATCCCGCTCGTGAAACAAGTCTTCGATTGAGAACGATTAGTTGAGGTTACTCATTTCCGGACGAGAGCATATACCGGCGAGAATACTTGGTCCGATCGACTCGATAGATCCCAACCCTGCAAGACCAAGTCGTCAGCTATTTTATCCCAGATATTGAGACATGACCAACGATCTGGAAGCCAGGTAACTCACCAAAACTCGCAAAAACTCTTGCACCCATCAAACTATCGTAGTCCTTCGCCACGGCAGTCCAAATAATCCCTCCTAGAAACATGGCCATCGAAATCAAAACCACCGGGCGTTTACCAATACATAAGGCCAGCGGCATCCAGAACAGATTGGACAATCCCATGGCCAGAACAGACCAACTGATGAGATCAGCCAGCTTCTGATAGGGAACTCGAAGGTCTGCAGCGAGGGATCCGAATCCAGTTGCGATACCAGACTAGACATGTTAGGGGAATTCATCCGAACACCACAGCTAAAGACTCACCGAGTACATATTGCCCATGAAGACAAAAACATTAACAGTCAGGAGTGCAGCATACCGCACCCGGCGTGGGAAAAGCTATTGCAGTCAGCTTTCCTCCCATCTTTTCTCACACTCAAGGTTCACATACTCGAGGATCCATCGTATCCGTCATATTAGCTGACTGAGTCTCGGTCGTGTCTTTACTAAACCCGACGCTCCAGAGGTGACGAGGACAACAAGCGATATAACAGGTCTCCCTCTCCTTCGGGACCAACAGCACTGAACCCTAGATTACGAAGCATCTTCCCCAGGAAATGATCATCCGAGCGGGGGAAACGCCACAGGGTCGAGCAATGATGCTATTTGATTCGTATCACGGTATGTGGCCCTCTGACATGCCGATCGATTCGGGACCACATACGGCTCCCCAGTCGAATAAATTGGCGATTCGCACGGACACAGGCTGATCTGCTAGTTGCAGTTGAGAGCAGTGCTATAAAGTTACTGTGATGCGACACTCAACATCATGGAGGCGGAGTAAGGTGTGGTGAAACTGGGAGTCTCGGGTTTGGATCTGGTTGTTGAGTTGGTTTATAGAGCGGCAGTCACAAATCTGCGGGTATCATTATCCTACGACATAGGATTGACTTGAAGTTCTTTGAAAAATCGCTAAGGGAAAAAAATAAATAAAACAGAATAAAAAGCGGCCTCAAGCCTTCAAGCTTCGAGATAATATCAAGCACTCAGCAGCAAGTCAACCAACCCTTTTCCTCGCAAACTCGCTTTCGATGATAAACAGCTGAAGATGAATAAGGTTGATTTTTTTTTTTTTTTTTTTTTTTTGTAGATTTTTTGTTTTTCATTTTTTTTTTCCCTTTCAGTGTCTATAGGTTAGGACTTGGGCATATATATTATATATGCTTAGACTGACACTCCCTGCGTTATTCGAGATATTTCACTTCTCAAGGTGTTCGGGAGAGATAGATCCCAGACGGAAAGCAATAAAAATGAGAAATAGACATATTCTAGAGGAAAAGAGAACAGTTGATTTCAACCTCCTTTTTTCTCTTTTCCATGTTTCTTTAAAACCTCACTCGGTCTACATCAATCGCACCGTTCAACGCCCACATACCATATCAAAAACAAACATTAAATATTGAATGTGAAACACATGAATCATTCACGAAAAGGTCAATCCAGTCCAATTTCCAATTTTCGTAAAAAGATTTTTGAAATAAAATATGATTTATCATTCGTTGATAAAAAAAAAAAAAAGACGAAAAGTCCGATTCACGTAACACTGCGCCGGTAGTAACCTGAAAAACGGAAGTACCTCGAGTCAGGATGCTCCAGCTAATTTCAGAACACAACAGATTCATTCCAGTTTCCTTCCTATCGTTGAGACTGGCTGAGATCCAAAGCAGCAGTACAGGCGCGTTAAGCGCCAGAAACGAGGGCATTGGGCCCGGAGGAATGATGAGAAAAATTGAAGTGAATACGTTGGGAGGTGAGGTTTGTGTGCCTTTTGGCCTTTTCTTGCTTTAATTTCTTTTTTCTTTTTCTTATTCTTTCTGTCTGAGAAAAAGGCAAAATCGATGCTATGTATGAATAAGGGGCCGAAAAGAACACATTCTTCGGAGTGTACTTGGGCTCAGTATGTGAGGGTCTGCGGGTCACGGAGGGAATTCAGAAAATGCGCATGGATGACTAGGATACTAGAGGTTATAAAGCTCAGATAGAATATCAAGATATAGTTATAATCAAAACCGCTTCTCTTAAGTTGTGATCGAAGAATGCTTTCCGGCATATAGTATGGTCTGATCTTGTCTTGGTCGTACATAACTACATGGTGTTAACTAGTTATGAGTTGTGCAACAGATACATTTACTCGTTCTTCTCGAGAATCTATTATTGTAATCTTTAATCGAGACCTTTCTTCTCTTGCTATCACGTATGATATCGAAATGCTGAAATTGTACGATTATGGATGCATTTTGTGATTAATGAATCTTGCCTCAGAATTGAATAGCTAATTTTATTCACGGAGAAGACATGATAGACAAGAGAAAACATCACCTCACTGATAGCATAAAACATTAAAACAACCACCTGCATCAAAGTATATTTCCATAATCCCCAGTCCCAAACCTCCCACATCTCCACCCAACACACCGAGGGCACAACCAAGCCTTCCCACTTCTTTCAATATTTATCCACATCCCCCCACGCATTAATCGGACCCTGATAAGCTGGAGCCCAGCTTCCAATCAGAGACCCGTAATTTGTCAACCGAAGGCTCCTGGGGGATCGACTCGGGTCTCCATCGTGGAAAATCCGGGGCATTCGGCATTCCCGAGCACCTCGGGGCGAAACACCGAGCGAGCAGTAAGCACCAGTCCTGCCTGCATGTCAGCATTGCGCAAGTCGCGACGTGTTTGACGGGTGATTTAAAGCTATTGCATCAATCTGTCAACTACGTGTTCCTTGTCGCATGTAGCTTGGAGTACTCTGCATTTGGGAAGGTATTATCGAATCGGACAACAGATAATAAGTCATCATGGCAAGACTCCTCTCTGCACGAATAATCCTCAAATGAATCAATTGCTAAGAGTCAACAGGTTCCTGAAGAAGCGCATCTCCGCATTATCGTCGTCGGCGCGGGTCTGAGCGGTCTCGCGACGGCCATCTCCTGTGCTTCCCACGGCCACTCGGTGCAGGTCATCGAGCAAGCCAAAGAGCTAGCTGAGGTTTGTCTTACCTCCCTGGCCAATTTCAGCACTATCTCAGCTAAGATTAATCCGCCGGAACAGGTCGGTGCAGGCCTCCAAATCACACCCAACGCCTCGCGTCTCTTCCACCACTGGCAACTCCCCAGCAGCATCTGGACCGACGCAGCGGAACCAACATCCCTCACGGTGCACCGCTACACAGGGCAGATCCTGGCGCAAGAAAACGAATTTGACCGAAACATTCGCGCCAAATACAACAACTCACCATTCATCGACCTCCACCGTGTCGATCTCCAACAGGCGCTATTCGCTCGCGCCAAAGACCTCGGCGTCACATTCCATCTCGACACGCGGGTCGAGCGAATCGACTTTGCCACTTCCACCGTCTACACGCCCTCCCCCCAGGGTCGCACGTTCACAGGGGACCTGATTGTCGCAGCGGACGGGCTGTGGTCGAAATGTCGAGAGTGCTATGAGGGCCGGAAAGACGACCCCCTTCCGACGGGGGATCTAGCGTATCGGATTGTTTTGAACGCGGAGCAAATTCGTCCCGAGGATGCGGATCTGCGGCAGTGGGTTGAGAGTCCGCAGTGTCATTTCTGGGTTGGGCCCGGGGCCCATGTAGTGGCTTATTCGTTAAGAGGGGGAAAGATGTTTAATATTGTTTTGTTGGTGCCAGATACCTTGCCGCCTGGGGTGTCGAGGCAGGCGGGCTCGGTGGATGAGATGAAGGCGTTGTTTACTGGGTGGGATCCTGTGTATGTCTTTCTCTCCATCTTTCTGGGGGTTAGTCGTTGGGATTGGGGGTGCTAATGAGTTCGAACAGGTTGACTCGATTCCTCAACTACGTTGATAACGTCGACAAGTGGAAACTGATGCATCGTGAGATATCCCCTTTCCATCTATCACCCCCTTCAGATCCTCAAATCTAACCAACAATCAATCAATCAACAGACGGAGAAATGGAAACTTGGGTTAACGACAAATCAAACCTCGTCTTCATGTACGTACACACTCCCTCCCAAGCCCACCTCCCCAACCATCTAACCAAAGACGAAAAAAACAGCGGCGACGCCTGCCACCCCATGCTCCCCTACCTCGCACAAGGCGCCAACTCATCTCTCGAAGACGGCGCCGTTCTAGGCGGCCTCCTGGGCCATCTGAAGAGCAAATCCCACCTACCGCAGGTCCTGCGTCTATACGAGAGTCTACGGAAGTCGAGAGGCGAGGCGATTGTTAAGGAGACGTTCAAACAGGTCCGTTGTTTCTCTTTTTTGTTTAAAGATAGAAAGAAATGCAGGGCTAACTATTAGATGATACGACACAAACAGAGAAACGACTTCCACATGCCTAACGGCGAAGCGCAAGAGAAGCGGGATCAGATCTTTTTGTCTCAGTTAGGGAAGAAGATCCAAGGGCCGTTTCCGAGTCGATGGTATGTCATTGTATCTCCCTTACTTTGCTCGCGCGTGGCTTTCTATGGAATGGGGCGTTTTGTAAGAACAAGAATGACAAACTGACGCGCTGATGCGATACAGGACTTGCCCCGAAGTGCAGCCGTGGTTATACGGCTACGATGCCATCCAAGAGGTAGAGAATGCGGTGGCGCAGAACCCGGAATTGTTTTCGAAGACGAAGAACACATCGAACTTGTAAGACCTATACATCTTGGCCATTATATTCTATCTGCACCAAATCGGCTAATATCAGATGACAATCCCTAGACGAAACGGGGCGGTATTTGTGGCACTGTTTCTTCTTTCGACTTATACCTATTACAAGTCTAGTTAGACATTGATGGATAGAGAATCATAGTTCGTCGTATCGATAGCGTATCGTAAAGAGTATATAGTATATTATATGGCATTGAAAATAGGCCATCCGTCTTAGTTCGATTAGTTGTCTAACATGGGCAGCCCTCCCAAGTCATCGAACAGACGAGCGATGCCTTCGAACGAACAATCCGGGAATCCGAATCCGTAGGCCCATTCCTGTTCAGAAAACAAATTAGCACCAGCATCTCAGAGAGAAGGGTAATACAAAGGGTAGAAAGTACCGGGATATCAAATCCTCCCTGGCTAGGAACCGTCTCGGAGGCAAACGTCGCCGTATGACCCTCCATGCTGGGGCCGCTTATGGCCGAAGCTGACTGGACGTCGGAAGCTCGGAACTCCCGCAGGTAATGCTTGATGATATCGACGGATTTCCGTGCAACGACGGACTCGTCCATCGCCTCGAGGATCTCCACCGCCATTTCGACAGAACGCAGTAATGGGATGGTCTCGGCGCACATGCCAAGCTTGGACATGGGCAGGAGGAGCGTTGAGGTGGCGAACATCACATATGTCACGTTGTACCACCTGTCCGTCTGTTAACAGGGTCATGGGGGCGAGAAGAAACGGAAGGAAAGAGGATGGAGGAGGAATGACATACCAACAGCGGAAGAAAGTATGGATACGGTAGATATCGTAGATCACTTCGATGGTCCGCATCGCTGCATCGAGACACTTGGCGATCGTTTCTTCCAGCTCGGTCGGCGTGTGTCGAAGTTTCCGGGTGAAGTGGCTCAAAAACGGGCGGAACAGTAGCATTTTCACATTGTAGTAACCTTGTCACCATTAGGAACGAACCCTACGCATTCTCCAAAGGGGTAACTCACGGATTCCCAAGACCAATCGCTGTCTTCGCGCCCATTTTGGATCCCGCAATGTACTTCCGGTTGCTGGCTGTCGCATGATATCTGGCTTGATGCTGTCTGGCAGCTTTGCCATCCATTTGTCCAATTCGGACTCTACTTGGAGGGCGATCTGCAGCTTCTCCTGCAATGTGATGCGGGAGTGATAGATCTGCACCGAGACCTTTCGGATGATCTGCGCAAACTCCACCATCCATGGAATAATCGCATATTCGGAGTCGTCTCTTTCAGGAAGTGGCCGGTTGTGATATTCATCCATGCCCAGTGTATCGGGGCGGCCAACAGAAAAGCTCATTTCACTATCCATGCATCAGTAGGACTTCCAGGGAAATTACGGACAAATTGAGCGTACATCTCTAACGAAAAAAGCCCCCTGAGTTAGGTTAGTCAATTGTACCACGGCCTATTCATATCCGGCATCACTCACCACCAAGTTTTTGAAATCCAGCCAGACCGATGATCTGTCGAATTTCGAACCTCTCGATTGAATCCGGCTGCCAGGCAGGTACGGATGGCCAGACCCAGGTACATGTAGGCCACTGCAACAAACATAAGCCCAAGCAGGGATCTACGGACAAAGAAGACTCACGGTTCGGATTCAGCTCATTTTGACAGATTTTTGCCTGTTCCAATTAGTCAAGCCATTCTTCCGACTGGCTAGTCGCATGACCCGTCTTACCATAAGATATAGACACTGGACCGTGTCTAGGTTGTTTGAAAAATGCAGATAGTTCAGGTACATCTGCGCCTCGCTAAAGAGCTTCCGGCTCCATTCAAACCGTGTCAAGCCGCCGAGTCTCTCCTCGTCCCACACACGCACAAGAGCCCCGAACGAAAGAACACTCAGGTACAGAGCGACAAAACTTGGTTCCGGCTGCCGGTCTCGATTCAGCCACAGCTCATGAGCCCGTAGGTAGAAATCCTCCTTATCTATTAACGGATGAATAAAATGGATATTCTCAAAATAGCCATTCATGAAGGCATGAGCCTGCTCGAAATAATAATCCTGCTGGTGTAGAGTCACCTGATGCGCCGGACCAGCCGTGCACGTGGGCGAGAAGCTCGAGTTGTGAAGGGTCGAAATCAATGAGAACTCCGGCCCATTTGGGCGAACGTTCCAGCGTTCTTCGGGTAATTTAGGACCACGGGCCTTTTGCAGATGGCCTATGAGCGCTGCGGACGAGGTACTGCCGTGATACTCAATGCCTTTCGTGTGATGATTCAGCTCACTGATGCCGTCGTCGATGGCATCTCCGGCCTCATCCGAATTCTCGTAAGCCAGCGGCACTTCTTCTCGCGGCGTGGATGGATTCGGAGGCATGGAACATGGCGTCGCATCTATACTGGCCTGGGGGATCGGTCGATCTGCAGGTTCCGACACCACTTTGTGCGACTGGGAAGACTGCTGCGAGGCAATCTCCGACTCGGCCAGATGGAGTTTCGCAGTGAGCTCGCTGACCTTCTTCTCCAGGTCCTGAACGTAACTAGGATGCACCCTGTGTCAGAGTGAGACTGACCGCTCGGGATGTTTCAAACTCACCTCGCCGACCGATTGATTTCCCTCTCGCGATAGGTGCCCTGGTAGACGCACTCGATTTGGCTCTCTGCCAGGAAAGTTAGACCAAGCCGACACAATATAATCCGACCCACTCACTCTTACAGTGCGAGCATGGGTAGAGCTCGTCGCATTTGTATTTCTTTAATCTACACCGGTCGCAAGCTTGCGCAGCCCGCGGCCGCTTGGCCCGGGGTGTAACCGGGTCATCCGCTGCGGTACGAGTCTGGCGGTGCATCATCCATCAACAGCTGCAGGAGTCATCAGCGAGATTTGAAGCAGGAATTCAAATCAGATGCCCGTAACTCCAAGCGGCGATAGCGATAGATCGATGCAAGGGCAGCGAGAGCAGGGCAGAGAGGAAATGCGCCGGAATTGCCGAACTGCCGTCGCTCCCTGCCGTCGCTCCCTGCCGCTGCTCGTCATGTGACTGCACCCCCGCGGATCGCCCCACGGGGTTTCCTTCTCTGCTGTATCCTATTACTTTGATTAATTAAGTGCCTCGTCGGAATCTCATCGATGCGTCATTTTCTCATCAATTCATACATACAATTATCTCGGGTCGAGTCTACTTCATTTTGGTTCCAGGTCCATGTCCACTCCCAACTCCTTAGTGACCGCTCTCACGCGCGTGAAATCCCATTCCTGCATCTTCTCCGGCAAGACGACGCCCTCGAACGGCGTCCCCAACCGATGAACTAGCGATTCGATGCCATTGCCGTCCGCAAAGGACCAGACACGCACATATCGACTATCGAAATGCAACGCGAACCCCTTCCCCGCCGGAATCACGATCGTCTCGCCCTCGCGCAGCACTTTAGTCTCCACCGACTCCTTCAACGACACCACCAACATCCCCTCCACAACACACAGGCAATGGTCCACGCTCGCAAAGGTCATATAATCCGAGAACAGCGCGTTATACGTCGGGTACCGGTTGGAGGATTCGATGCTCGAGATCGCGCAGACACCGTCGCTCTGCGCCGTCGTGATGAACGGTCGAGACATCACGCCGCCTAGCATCCATCGGGGGCCGGTGTTGGCGCGGAGAAAAAACGGCTGCTGCGATGAACTAGGCAGTTTCTCGTCGTCGGTGGTCCACTCGGTCACCTCGGGGGGCTGATAGTCGGGCTGGAAGACCACGTCGAATTTCTCCTTCGCTGCCATCACCTTGGGGATCAATAGGGCTTTCAGGTCGCGGTTGTCGCTCTCCGGAACCAGGACCCCCTCGTATGGCTCCGAGACGTGTCGGAAGAAATCCACCCAATCGCCGGGGGTGATTAGGCCGTAGATCTCTGTATGCGGTCCTATCATTTCGGGGTTGTGAATCACTTTCTAAGTCACCACGGCCTCGTTAGCTTCACTCTGGCCCCTAGCTAGACTCCTAAAAGGACGAGGAAATACTCACCGGCGGCACGTAGGCGAAATCCCCGGGGCCCATTATTCGACACTTATCCCCATTCCACAACTTCAGGAACCCTTTCGTTACCAGAAAAACGTCATGCGCGTGGTTATGGTAATGAAAACCCGGCGCGTCGGAAAGAACGGCACCACTCTGGAAAACAGCCATCAATCCATTCGTTTGTTTCGCGGACGCCAGGATCCGAAAGACACCCTTACTACCGGGGATGGTGATGCACTCGCCCTCCATCTGAGGAAGCGCATATGGGATCCTCTTGTCAGGAGGCTGGTCGCTCCACCGTAAAGTCATAGAGGAGGGCTTGGGTCGTGGTCGTAGTTGAGTCATCATTGAGAGGGCCATGGTGGCAGGACTCGAGTCGCAGAATGTCCCACTAATATATTCTCAAGTTTGGGGAACCCCGCGAACAAAATCGAGGCACGACGCATGGATGTAGATCGTCAGAGTCGCATTCGCCATTCGGTAGAGGAAGTGGAGCCTTGGTGGTTCCTCGTTGCCGACCTCGGATGTACCGCCAGACGAGGGGCTCGGGTTCTCCGGTCACCAGCTTCACTTTACCCCGAATTGTGCACGGAGTGAATGGAGTTGAATGACATCAGCAACTAGGACTAACTAGCACTGGCTAGTGCCTTCTTGGTGGGAAGTTAATCAATGCCATAAGAATATGCTCATGATGCCCTTCACGGCCTTAAGTGATAGCAGACATAGCGAATTGTGTTCAATATAAGACCACCACAAGTAAATAGAGATAATAAATCAACATAACAACAACATACAATAGATACCTTCACACAGACTGAAATCAACAAAAAAGATACAAAGGGTACGCTGTAATGTAGCCCTTATATAAGGTAACCCTGTCCACTCCTCTGCGCCAAACCGGCCAAACCAATCAAAACAAACATCAAAGTACAATATATAACAGTCAATGCTCCTCCTCACTTGGGGGCATAGTCCACGCTTCCTTTTCGTAGGATCAACGAATCATCCTCGCCTCACTCTCGGTTTCTCTATGAATCGCGAGATTTATTGGTATTGGCCCCGATTCGCCCGCCCCCGGGACCGTCGTTACCATCCCCGTACCGTCTCCACGGTTGATTCCTCATATCTTGTCTGGCGGTCAATGAAGTTGAGGAACTCCTGCTCAACGATACAGGCGAATTTGGAGTCGATGAATCAGGGGTCTGGGTCGAGGCAGCGGCTGGGTTGCAATGCGCGCAGATGAAGATGTTAAAGCCACGGCCGCTGCAGCTACTACAGATCGAACCCCTACATTCATCATGTTAGTTGAGTGTCTAAAGTAGTGGTGTTAGGGCAGGAAAGCATACCTCGGGGCATTACCTGCACAATGGCGGCACGTCAGGACCGTTCTTCCGCCAATGCAGGAGGTATGTTCGGGGTCGAGGCGAAGGGTAGAGACTGCCTGATGAGCCATGGTGAAACAAATAAGGTTTAGGTTTTCCGATGTCAGAGATAAAGGCGTAAGATATCCAGAATATATTTGGATAATGACAACAGATTTCGTTTGAGATAGACTTTGTCAAAGATAGATCCTGTTTTATAAGAGCTATATTAGCTGTTCTTATAGACCGAGGGGCTCACGTTCTTATCAATCATGCGTGAGGCGCGGCAAAACAAAAGAAATAAGAGACACAAATTTAAAAAACTGCATCGAAGAAAAGAAGAACAAAATAAAAAGCAAATACTCGAGAAGAGGTAAGGCGCGGCAGACGCAGGGAAAAAAGAAATAAAATAGAAACAGAAATAAAAACCGCGGAATAGAATCGAAGAATATAACGGGGAGTGGAATTAGAAAACTGCACCTATACCAGGCTTGTCCCTGCTCGACGAACGAAATTCTCCCCGTAGAGAGCCATAAGCCGATATTGTCAGAGATTGTGCAACCAGGACTCGATTCAAGGAATACTAACTCGAATTTCGCATCGGTGATGCCGATGAACTCCAGCTATCACGCAGATGGACGTTCAAAGAGGCTGTCATGGCATTATCCGAATGATCAGAGCCGTTAATCGTCGGTCACATCGAGCTACGCCAATGATGAGGTTGCCTATGTGATATGCAGTAGACGCTCTGGGAATTAATAAAATGAATGCCTGTCAGTCATAAAACAATAGAAATTCCACAATAGTGGGAACCTGAGGGCATCTGCGATCCATCGAGCTAGGTTTAACCTGTGTTCGTTGTTCCGAGTATTGCAAACAGGGCCAAGCCCAGCTGCGAGGGTCGCCTATGGCGCGTCGAGTTGTATTAGACTTGAGTCTGGATAGCAGAAGGTACAGCTGGAATCGGTAATGAAACACTCGGTGCGCAAAAAAGGAGGGGACTATTGCGAGTCAACGTGTCCATGAAACGGAAAATATAGCGGCAACGCATGGCAGCCACCAAGAGTCGTGTTACTGGAGCTACGAACAATCGGGACGATCAGCAAAGATTCGCAGGTTTTCAGACCGCCATAATGAATCGGAGTGACCATCTTTGAACCTTCAATTCACAGTCAACCCGCGGATAGGTGCAGGAAAATAATGCGAGCATGATATCATTCCTCGGTCTTATGTATAGATCGCACAGGTTGCATTCCATTCGGGACGGCACGGTGACACTGAGACAGAACGCATAAAGTAGCATTGCTCACTGGAAGCACTTGCATTCGCGCCGGCCACAATCCAGCTTGCCGCGTTAAGAGCACCTTGGAGGATTCTCATCCTGCACGAGGCAGCCTTCTGGCCAACGAGCGGAGCCAGCGAGTCAGCAACGCGGTATTCACCCCTGACGGTGGGTCTACGCAAGACTCACTCGGTCTTCCAACGGCCGAAAGGCTGTGAGTCTTCGGATTGACTAGCCTTCCATCCCAGCGGTGATTTCTTTTTCAACCCTCGCTCCTGTCATCCAACAGCATTTGCGCCGCGATTTCCGACCTTTCCACGGCGGAAGGATTCACGCTACTGCAGCGCCGCAGATAGTGCAACTGGATTTACAGTTAGGCTGGGCAATGAGATCAATTGAGAAAGTTCGATTTTTCGGTATTGTTGCACCTAAAATGTCAAAGAATGTTTCATCCGACATGCGACCCCAATACCGGACAGTCGGAGCAAGCGATGAATGGTCAGTATCCGGGCCAGCAAGGGGACAGTTATCACACATATTGGTCTCGTGGTAGCTTCCGACACAGCAACATGCATGTCTCGCACTGTATAATGGATGGTGCTGACTGCCAGTCATGCAGTTATCCGTTTAGCTAAGGGTGCCATGGAATTATTGCCATCGCATTGCGCAGCACGGTGATTGCTCCACAAATAGACCAGAGATCTCGTGTCAACTTTGCGATTTTTTTTTCATCGAATAGGTTTTCTCGAAGCCCGGCCAATCAAACATTTGACGCGCTCTGCTGGGGCGAGTTGAGTCTGCAGATTGGTCACATGTTATATGAATCCCTGGGGTTAATATGAAACAGGACCATCCAAAGTATCATTTCGAAATATTTGTACGATGCTCTCGGTGACAGACACGGCCGACTGAGAGATCATTGGCAGGCACTATTTTGGCCCATGGGTGGAGATGAGTGGACTAGATTATTATGGCTGAAGTTCGTAGATCCCAGATCACAATCAGGAAGAAGAAAGCGCATCCGACGTTAGAAGGGGTTTTCTTTTTCTTTCAGATTTAGAGGAAAGAGTGATCATGAGAAAAGAAAAGAAAAGAAAGAAAAAAAAAAAAGAAAGAAAGAAAGGAAAAAAAAGCCGAAAAGTTACAGCCGCCCATGTGGTGATTCCTCGATGACTTGCTGCTGCTTCGAAGCCAAATGGGCGATTCAGATCCCGCATTAGCACTTCAGCTGGCGTCGAGAAGGTGGCTTGCTGACTACTGACCATCGCATAGTTAACTAAACATGAACAGGCAAAGCAGATTCGAGGCTAAGCGACCTGCAAGTAACCGAGCGAAATCCACGCGCTGAACTGGGATCTGGATTTGGACAGATGTGACGAGCTGTCCGAATCTGAATCCATCATAGAATGAGACATGAATGATGTCGACGCTGTACCGTGCAGTCGAGGAAGTACTCTGATTCGTACTGATGGAATCCCGACGCTTACTCTCTCATAGTCCGGCATACTGAGGTTGCACAAAGGGGGCAAGGGAAGAGGGAAAAGAGAAGAATCACCGCCGAGTTTTGAGAGCACAAGACCCTTCACGGGTCAGCCGACTCCCTTCCGCACTTGGCCAACAATCCGGCTTAATTACTTTACTTGGGGAGTCCGCAGGTATTTGAATAAATAAGAATTCCCTTAAAATAGTGCTATTACCTGCCTAAAACAAGTCAAGTACATCAAAGAAACGCGTGTCCTGTTGTCTTCATCGCCACGCCCAGTCTCAGTCAAGCAATCCTAAAATTAAAGATGGGAAGGAAGCAAAAAGAAAAGGGGAGAATAAAAAATGACAAGATAACCCTAGCCAGTAAAAACAGGTTCAACAAAAGAAATCATTCCGGTGCATAAGCCATGGTTCGTTTAATAGATCGTAATAGTAAAGGCCATAGGAGACAGTTTCCACTCCACCTTTACAGAGAGATTGAGAGCAAGGGGCACATCTGGTGTCCCCACCTAGATAAAGTAATCAGAGGGGAGGGAGGCCAACAAAGCGACGGTTCCAACGGCCCCTAGCATAGCACTGACCACTGCGGTGGCCGCATGGCTTCCAATCTTCGAGGCCTCAGATGTCTTCGCCCGCTTGGATGGTCGTTCGTTCTGTGGCTCAGAAGAGGCCAGGTCACCGAGTGAAGGTGCCGCTTTGGTCGCATCTATGGTAGTGAGTTGCGTGTATGGATCTTCTTCCATGCCACTTGGATCAAGCTGTGGCTGAGCATCGGGATGAGAGGGTTCTTCAAGTTCAACCCCGACATGCTGGTTCTCGTGCGAAGCGTTGTATTCGAAATTGGATGTGTCGTGGAGCAGTGATTGCGGGAAATCCAATGGACTATTTCCCTCCAGGTCTGCTACCTTTCGCTTCCGGCAAGTCCTTTGTGTGGGTGGTTGGGGTAACGAAACGATATCGGATATTCTCAGGCGAGTGTCTGGTCTTGAATGAGTGTTTCGTTCGTCGCCGTAGTAATTTGAGATGTCTCCGTTTCCAATGGTATCTGGTGCCGCAGGATTTGTATCATACTCAGGTCTAGAGCCTAGTTCACCGGCTACCCCTGGTATGATCGGCTGGCGGGCAAAGGGTCCATCACGGTAATATGATGAAGCGGGTCTGTAGGCGTCGCTCAGGGGCAAATCACTCATGCTCAACACATTCCTTGGCTGGCCATATTGATAGTTGAAGGGCAGGCTGCCACGCGACGGCCACTCATGGAATCCTCCGCCATAGCTGTTGGAATGGAATCCGGTGAGCGAGTGATCAAAGATTTTGCCATATGGCTGCAGATGGAGATGGGAATTCGCATACAGTTGATGACTAGACGACCAAGCCGAAGGATTCAGTTTGGGGGTCACCGCAGGCTCTAAGACAGGCTCTAAGACAGTTTGTGGGTTCGAGTTCCTGGCATCCCCGCGGATTTCAGGCAGTTCAACGTTGCTGTCTACACGAGAATTGTTTGAGAGTAACTCGCCGGTGCCGTCCGCTTTTTTGCCCGGCGCATGTTCTCCTTGACTGTTTGAATAGCTTATCGCATTCTCTTTCTTACCGCTGGAGTCGTCGGCGTGAGATAGCTTTCGACTCTCTGGGAAGGACGGAATGTGCACCGTTACGGAGTAACCATCTGCATCTGACAGTTCAATATCAGATTCGAAAGACGAGTCAGAGATTGATTCTTCGTCCGATTCAGAGTCATCATCATCTGATTGGGAGGCCAAGTCGTCTGCAGAGAATTCGTCTTCAGAGTAATCAATCAAATGACGCTCGGGGTCACCGCTCTCATCAAGCCGATCTCGGGCTTCACCATCTGCATCTGTAATGGCGCCATCGTTCGAGGAGGGTGTCATTCTGGGAGTCACGAGAGGTTGGTCGTTTTGCTCGTTATCGACCTCGATGGGCGTGTGCTGTGAGCCACCACGGACTTCGCCGTCAATGTCCTTAGATGGGATGTTACTTGGAGAGCAGACTTCAATGACTGATCCATCATCTGAACCTTCCTCAGAGCCAGAGCTACTCTCAACTATGGATACCACTGGCGCCGGTTTGCCGATGACCTGAACATCATTGTCGTCATCGTCATCATCATCATCATCATCATCATCATCATCATCATCCGGTACACAAAACGTGTTGGTGGCTATTTTAGGTCTATCGGCGTTGCTAGAAGATGCAGGTTTATTTTCCCTTTAATCCAGTTAGTATGTCAAATACAGGTCATGGATTGAACGACGTACTCAAAGCCAAACCATTGACATTCATAACGAACTGACAAGGGAGGATAGGTGTCTAAAAAATGAAGGGACTGATCAGCATTTTGCTTCAAATATATCCGGTGTCAAAGATCCGAAGTCGAGGATTGACTTACCGCGGCCACGAGTGACTTCGGTGCCAAAAACCACCTGATCGCCCGTTTTAATCGGGACTTCTTGGTTGACGCAAAGTTTCTTGCCATTCAGGCGGGTGCCGTGCATAGATCCACCATCGGAGATGAAGACAACCTGAAAGTAGTCATATCGAGTTAGCCGGGATGGATTCAGATCCTCGTTGCCACCGATACATATATAGATCTCTCAACGCTGGCTTGCATCGTACCTTCTTATCCAAGCATGCCCGGATCTTCGCATGGTTTCTTGACATGACCCGCGAGTCAAAGAGACCGTTCTTATCGGTGGGAGCGAGATTCTTTGCCTCACGCTTGGAAGCACGGCCGATTTCAACATGGTCCGAGTCGGATGTGAAGGTCAAGGAACGGTATGGGATGGGTTCAGAGAAGCTGTAGGGGTGAAGGGTCACCACCGCTGTATCACAAATGAAATGAGTCAGAGAAGACAAGTCAAGCTCAGAGCGTTAAGGAAGAAGAGCGTCACCTACCCCGTTTTCCATCCATAACGACGTAATTAATGCCGAAACGATAAAGATACCCAGGGCGTTTCTAGGAGAGAGCTTCTTTCGACAAGAGGGGGGAAGATCGAATCCTGTAAGTGATAGGCATATGAGTGCCTGTCCCGATCCGGACTTTGCATGCAGAGGCAGCTAATGTCGTAGGATGAAGTTGAAACAACATGCACTGTAAAGACAGTTCCTAGGACACTACGTCCTATACCGCCAAATCGAAATGGACTAAACGATGGGGATGTGGGAAGACGGAGTGACGTGGATGATGACGGGGACTTGGGGGGAAGGATACACCTGGGAGGGGCAGTGAAGTGTACCTACCTCTTCGGACGGTCGCTTGTCAGGCAGAGAGCAACGTGGACCACCCCAAAGTTGCCGTGTACCACTGGGTAAGCAAGTCGTACAGCCCAAGGCTGCCAGGAAGAACCAGTCCTCCTGTGAGTCAGAGGACTCAGGGGAAACGGACTTGAGACTTCGAGCTCTCGACAGCGAGGGGTTCGATAGAGATTCGGGGACTTGGAAAGGCCCAGAGGTTTAGGGGATCGACGATAGAAAAGGGGGAAGCTGCAGCAATGCGGAGGTAGACGAGCGTTACGTCAGATCGTCACGGCGAGTAACAGAGCAAACGGAGGGCGTTTGCAGTCCACCAATAGTCACCAAGAGGGGAAACCGAATCAGAAAAGAACCCAAAAGGTAGTGAATGACAGCAACAAAGACGGTGAACAGCACCGACAGTCTTTGACTTCTAGGAAAACAGGAAGAGGACTGTGGTAGAAAGGGATTCATAGATGAGTTGACGCCGATAAACTGATAGGAGAAAGTGGGGTTACCCCGTCAGGTGGACACCCGCCATTACGATCGACTTACGGGACGATGATTGTCCGGCGCGGAGATGCCCGGAACCCTTACGGAGGTAGGAAATAGAGAGGGAGACTCTGGCATTCGCTATGGTACAGTGCAGTGGTTTGGTTTCACCCCCTCCTCTACTGCCCCCCATTCTATCGTCCTGATCACGTCCAGTTATCCTTCCTATACAAGAATCTGTCCCCGTGCAGCATCGCATCCCGTCCTCGCCAAATGCCACAAGAGGATACTAAAAAAAATATCGGGGAAACACCACGAATGGAGAAAGAAAAAAGAAGCAAAGAAGCAAAGAAAAATAACAGCAAAGCAATCCCCAAAGATATAGTAAATACATAGGCAATGAATGGTCCCCGGCGCCCCGACGTATCAGACCAACATGAAAAGGAATAAGAATCAGGCTGGAACTAGCACTTAACCCACTTTTGACTGAAAGATGGCCAAGAAGAAGAGAGGGGGGGAGGGAGGGGGAGAGGGAGAAAAAAGAATAAAGAGAAACAAAACATTAATCCAACTAATGGCTCATGGTCATCTCAACAAATTTAGGAAAAGAAAGACCGCTTCTTCCGAAGATATCCTTTTTCGTCCTTTCTTTTTACATGCCGGGAGGGGCACCGCCAAAGCCAGCGCCAGCGCTCATGTTGGAGAGACGGGCGGCAAGCTGAGGGTATTTCTCCTGCACCTCGAGTTGTGTCCGGGTCGCCTCGGCATATGAGATAGCATTGATGATCTCGGCCTCCGTGCGAGCAAGCTCCGCCGCCCGCTCAAAGTACTTGAGTGCCTGAGAGACCTTACCCTGCTGCAAGAGGAGCTGGGCCATAGTTCCCACGGCGATGTCACACTCGGGATCAACTGTGATCAGGTCAGTCAGCATCTGTTAACTAGTTTTAGAACGTGCGGCTCATGGGCGAGACTTACTGATCAGCGCCTTCTTGCACAAGTTCTCGGCCTCGGGGAAGTCACCCTTCCACTGGAAGAGGGCAAGGGCCTTGTTGATGAGCGGCAGGACGTTGATGCCCAGAGGCTTGCTCTGCTTCTCCATCTCCACGGCCTTGTCGAACTTCTCGATGGCCTCGGAGAAGTTCTGCTGGTCGAGGAGAAGTTCGCCGTAGTAGTTGTAAACGTCGGGCACGTCCTCGAAGTTCTTCACGGACCGTCTGAAGGTAGCCATGGCAGACGCCACGGAGCCCATCTTGTACTGCGTCACACCCAGCTGGATATGAGAGTAGATGAAGGTGCGGTCGAGATCGATGGACTTCTGGTAGTCCTTGGCGGCCTCGGCGAATTCACCGAGGATGAAGTGGAGCTGAGCACGGTGGTAGTAGATGTCGGGGTCGTCCTTGTTGTGGGAGATAGCGACCTCGAAGTCATCGGCGGCAGAGTCCTTGTTTCCAAGTTCCAGGTGCAAGCTGGCGCGCTTGATGTAGCTCTGCACCAGGGAAGGTTGCAGTTCAACACTCTTGTTCAGGTCAAGCAGGGCCGCCTGCGCGTTACCGGAAAGGTAGGTGAAGGTGGCTCGGAGGTTGAGGGCCAGCGCTTCGAATTCGCCCAGATCGCCGACTTCCAGGGCCTTCTCAAACGAAGTAGAGGCCTCCTCGTACCCGTCGCCAGTCTTCTTGGCCATGGCAATCAGACCCTTGCGCAACAGGCCCTTGCCGGAATCCTCGCTCAGCTCGACGGACTCCTCGAGACCTTCAGGGAGAGGCTGGGGGCGGAAACTCTGAAGGTAGTTGGACACGAAAGTGGGGCTAGGAAGCTTCTTGCCCTTGGCCTCGACGATGGCCTTGCCCTTCTGCTCGGCGACCTTCTTCAGCAGTCGCTCAAGAGAGTTACGGCTGACCTCGTTGGAGAAGCCGTCGATGATGCAGCTGGCGGTGAAGTCCAAAAGGGCTTCGCTGTATTTCTCCAGATGTTCGTATGCGATCGCCCTCCGGTTCAGGGCCTTGACGTATTCACTGTCCATGGCGAGAGCAGCGCTCGTGTCCTCAATGACCTTCTCCCATTCCGACAAGATGTTGTAGCAGGCAGCGCGGTTGGAGTAGAAGACGGGGTCGGGCTTGCAGATAATGGCCTTTCCGTAAAGATCAATCGCTTTGTTGTATTCCTTGGAACCGTAGGCCTTGTTGCCGGCAGCCTTCAGCTTGGCGGCATAGCTCTTACGTGTCTGTGATTCCGAAAATCAGCGCCCGCGACGGGATTACACAACGACGACAGATGTCCAAAACGCCATCACAGCTTACCTCTTCTGACAGCTCTCCGACCGTAGCCTCGTCAACCTCCGGGATTTCCTCGGCGGGCTCCTCAGCCTTCTTTGCTGCGGGTTCTAGGATATCGTTAGCCCGGCTCCGGGGTGGTGTTTATCGGTCGGAGACGCGTTGGGTAGACCTACCGTCCTGGACGGACGAAGCCTTGGCCTTCTTTTCCTCCTCGGCCTTCTTCCTCTCCTTCTCCTTTCGTCGCTGGTTCTTGCTCTTCTTCACGGGCGCAGGAGCTTGAGCCGGGCGGCCGGTGTCGGAGAGGTAGTAAACGACACCAGCGCTGGTCACGACGACGGCCACACCGGCAATGGTGTAGACCAAAGCCTTATTCTCGGACACCCATTTCGAGACGCGGTCCCATACCGACGCGGAGGAAGAGGCGGGGAGCGAAGCAGTGTCGACAACGATGTTCTTCGCGGGCTGAGGCAACGGCGATTCGCTCGACATGATGACCCGGTATCCTTTTTATTGATTCCTTTTCCTTTAAACCTCTAGGCGAAAGTCAGTTCCAGGTCTCATGGGCACCATCAATGCAGTCCAGAGGTGACGGAAGGGTGGGGAAGCGAAAGGGAAAGACTAACTGGTCCAGGGTGCACGGCAAGAACTTGTCGGCAGAAGTTGGAGGATTGAAAAGTTATGCGTTCTGAGGTTCCGGCGACGCAGTGGCTTTCCGAGCTCCCAGACCAATCACATCCGCCACCAAGGGATGTTCAGCTCCCTGTTTTCTCCACCATATCGTCAGTCGGGTCAGAGCACGGGAGTTCTACTTGTCTAATGCTGTTTCTCTAACTACCAGAGTCAGTTCTCTATAGCAGGACCATCGGAAAACGAGCTATCAAACGAACTAACAGAATCACAGTGATATCTCCGCTCGAGAAAAGAGGACTACGTCAAGACGACATTCCGCTTCTCGCCCTGTCCCCCAACCATTGACCATTCGCAAGAAAAATGACCAGTTCATTTCAAATCATATCTACCCTTCGCTACGATCCCGCGCTTCCGGACGTGCTCAACTATCCCGATTCCCTACGCACGCCGTATTACCTCCTACCGTACCATCAAGACCGACTCCTCCGGGCAGCGCAGTGTTTCAAATGGCAAGCCGCGATAGACTTCCTTGAGAGAGACGCAGATCAGTTCCTCCAGTTTCTAGACTCGTTCATCCCAGATAAGACGAAACCATGGCGTCTTCGGATTTTGATTGACCAACATGGAGTCGGCACGGTAGAGACTACTCCAACGACGACAATTAACCTCTCGAGCCTTCTTATTCCTTCCGAAACGCATGCCTCCCCATGGCGCGTCTATATAGACACAAAACCTACCAAACCCTCTGCGTTCACCACACACAAGACCACCGCGCGAGAAGACTACACATCCGCACGTCTTCGATCAGGGATTTACTCTCCACAAGAGCAAGCCGAGGTGCTTATAGTGAATCCAGAGGGTGAAATAATGGAAGGAAGCATCACGACGCCGTATTTTCGGCGCAGGAACCATGTCCACACGGATCAAGCGACCGGGTCGGATTGGATCACACCACCTCTCTCCAGCGGTGGCAATGCGGGCACGACAAGACGCTACGCGTTAACTCAGGGGTTTTGCACCGAACAGGTCATTCGGGCTACGCATTTGGTTGACGGCGAAGAGTGCTGGCTCAGCAATGGGGTTCGGGGTTTCATTCGTGGGATAGTCGTGCTTGATGGCGGTGCTAACCTTCCGTAGAGGGGAATAGATCCTATATCATCCCATTATTAGGGATACGATATCCTTATCCAAGAATTCAGCAGTAGTTAGTAGCTCTCCTCATATGATTTCCCACAGATAAACTGGTCAGGCTTTGCTGTGTACAAGACAACTGCCTGATCCTCAAGCGCCGTATAGGTTAACCAATGGATTCCTCTTGACACTATTATCTTTTTCTTAATTCTCCTCTTTCTATTGACATATTGTTTTTATGAAAATATTTTGGTTATTCCGCATTCTGCGTTTATAGACCCGTTAGAGGTGCTTGTACATGCTGGGAGTTGATGCTCGGTAGATAACCGCAATATATATCTTGCCGAAAATCAGGACATTCATGGCTAACATCAGCTAAGCACAGTCCAACCAGAACAACAGACCCCCTACCCTACAGTACACCGTAGACCTCGGTCGCATTATCTGCACATGCAATGCTGCGGAGAACCTGTAGGGTTATGAAGTTGCGCGGTAAATCAGGTTTTCAGATGAACGTATACATGAGTTGTTCAGTCTCAGACTTGCAACGTGAGTAGGGCACTTTCTCGTTGATGTTGATTAAAAAGGTCTTATAAAAACCACAGTAGCAAAATGATCAGAAAGAAATGTAGAGTCTATACTCTAGTTACTGTCAAGCGAGCTGGACGGAGTTGGTCAGCAGTCCGCGGTTTCCCCCCGCTGATTGGTGACGCCCTCAAAAGCACGTGACTGATCCCCGCATTACCAAACAGGACTAGCGCCACTCGGAGCGGAAGCTGACAGAAAGTTGCCTTCTGAAAGGAGGTTCGGACGGTCGGACCCGAGCAAATTATTTTGCCCGACCACTGAGAAAAGCCATTGAGCAGACGAGCAACCCAGCAGTGCACACCACCACCACATCATCCCACCGCCACCTCAGCTTCGTCCTCCCCCCTCGGTTTCATTCCTACACACTGTCTATATGCATCTGCAACTATGAAGTTCTTCGAGAATGTCTTCACCTACGACTACTCCTTCCCTGCCGTCTCTCTAGCCTACTTCCTTCGCTATCCGAACCCGTACTCTCGCCATGTCCTTACGACCGATGTCATTGATCGATGGGTCGATTCGAAAACCGAACGTCTTCATACGACCCGTCTCCATCTGAAGAAGTCCAAAGTCCCCTCGGGCATTCTCAAATTGCTGCCAAAGGGCATGGGAGGCTCGGATCACTCTGGCCAAAGCTACATCCTAGAAAACACCGTCGTGGACGCCAAGGAGGGCTGGATGGAGACGGAATCACGCAACATGGAATGGACTGGTATCCTGAGCGTGGTCGAGAAGCAAGTCTATCAGCGCCAATCCATCGAGGGAGCGCTTGAGAATCTGCAGGGACTGTCTCTCGACGACAAGATCAGCGAGCAGACCACGGTCAAGACCACGGTCACCTTCCGTTCCAAGTTTGGACAGGGAAAGCTCTTGGGCAACAGGAAAAGGACAGAGCCAATGGTCGACCACGCCGGCGAGGCCGAGGAGGAGGCTCCGAAGAAGGGATTTTTCTCGTCGCTATCAACGGCCGGCATTCAGCGAACGATTGAGCTTATCGGTCTCAACCGAACCCGAGATGCCGTGCTCAAAAGCAAGCAAGGCATGAATGTCGTGCTGGAACGCTTGCGAAGCGGCGGAATCGTTGGCGTTCTCGAGGGAATGCGACAGGACCGCGAAGCGATCCTTGGAGGAGAAGGTCCCTGGAAGCGCGTTTGGCTCCGGGGTAATGGTCTGAAGGACCATACGCATAGGGATGACGACGACAATTGAATACGGATTGATGCTATAATTGAGGATGAAAAGAAGAAGCTGACCTGCAGAGAAATATTTGTGCAATCTTCGAGCGCGGTGTTATGGCGTTTATATTTGGTTTTTCACGGACACTCTCCTGCCACATCTGGACATGAATCATTGGCCATCGTTGTCAGTTCATGACGACGTTTTCATTTGCATGCCATGTTTTCTCTCCTTGTTTTATCTTTGTTTTATCTTTACTTGTTTTGACCCTACTCCTGTCTTTTGTTGATCATGTTTTGCACGAGGAAGGGAACAAAATTGTTGTATATTAGGGAAAGGTGCGATGGCCGGCTGCAAGGGCACGTGGTGGTGTCAACTGTACTATATATATGAAAGTCACCAACGACTAAATTTTTGGTTTTGTCTTATCATTTTCGCTGTCTTTGGAATCGAAAACAGACTTGATACTTTTTGTTGATGCCACTCTCGGGCAGTGGCCGTTAGTAATCCTAGCAAAACAGGAAACAGCAACCGCTCACTACAACTCGCATCTATTCACTTGAGGTCCATGTGAGTTCAGCTCTTTCATTTAATACTCCGAGTGAACCCTGACGAATCCATAGCTAGTGACTGTGAGCTCGAATATGACCCCCTCTTGATACACAAATGCCTGAACGGAGGTAGCCACATTCCCGTGACAGACATCGGACATTTACAACACTGCCGACTCCTTTGAAGCATCTGTGTTCATTCGCGGGTTCAGTCCTATTTGAGCTCAAAGTCAACCTCACCGTGCATTACCTGACAGCTCACACTGTGTTCACCGAACAAGCGAGCAAGATTCGAGACATATCAAGGTGAACATTCATCTTCCAAACTAGCGTTGAGTATATTTACGACGCCACAACTGCTTAGGATACGATCTGAAGTATAGTGCTAACACGAACGCCTTTAGACCAGGATGGAGCTCCAACTTCCGCCTCGCGGGGTGAAGCGCGAAAGGGAAGACGAGGATGCCGATGCTCACTCTGCCGAACCGCCTCGGTCCGCTATGAGGCCCACAGACTCCAACGGCTTACTCAATCTGTGCCAGAACTTCAGACTCCTCCCCGTGCCAGAAGACAAGGATGATCTGGAGACGACCGCTAGAAAAATGGAGGACCTGGCCAGGGAAGTTGACAACGGAAACAGTCTCGCACTCTACACAGGCCTGCAGGTGGCTTCGCAGCGTCCGAGAAACCCAGAGAGTATTGCAAAAGCACACTTGGCACCACACGAGCGGTGGCTATATGATTGCTGGAGAAAGTCGAGGGATAGCTACGACAATGCCGTGGATGGTATGAGACTTCCGGACTTTAACTGGGATAAATGGGTGGCACCCCTGCCCAATGGGATGCAGAGTCTCAATAAATTCCGACAGCGCGCAGAAGCCATGGATCGGATTTGGGGCCATCATGGGGCCACGGCCGAGCACGCCTCATGGCTGACCTACCACTTGCCTTCGATGTTACCCCTGGTCAAAGCCGTGACGAAGGTCACCAATCTCCAAAGGAACAACCAGCCCCGTGAACCCCGTGAACCCCGTGGATCGCGTGGAGCGCACCCCCGTGGACTGACCGACATGGAGGTTGCAGAGCTTGAAACGGCGCGCAAGGTTGTGGCCGCCGCAGAGAAGAACAGGTGCCGGGAGACAGAGAAGATTCGCAGGTTAACCAGATCTATTGCCAATTCGGTCACAGTCATGAAGTCGCGTGTGCATACGCTCGAGGAAAGAAGACATGGTCGATTGTAACCAGGGGGCGCAGGATGGGGAGGGGCTTGTTTTACCTAATTGGCGCAAAAGGGATCGCATTTATTCACGAGCAAGGAGGCACGGAGTGTGGCATACACAACACAGGAGAGGGATTTTCATTCGCATCCATCGATGTGCACTGACAGGGGAAAAGAAAAAATAACAATCAAAGAGGCTTGTCGCCGGCTTCACTATCCAGGTGAAATCACATAGTTTATCCAATAAGACATATTTTATTCACTTTTTTATTGAAACATTGGCCGACGGAGAAAGGATATGAGGTCTCAATTTCAGAGCACTCAAATTGAATGCATGCCAGCACCGCCGCACATTACCGAATCGAGTAACGCGGAGAGATCCTACCAGCCTTGCGATCATGACGCAAGGTTCGATTGCGGTAACAGCAACAGCAAAAGGAACGGGGTTTCTGGCCTAAGGAGACCCAACATCCTGAAAACATCATTGGAGGACGGGCCTGTCGGATATTAATCTGGGTCCTGGTCCCCATCCACGCTGCCAAGCAGCAGAGGAACATAATTCTCGTCCTCGCGTAGGAGTACGGAGCGAGCATAAAGTTACTGAACAGGTATTATAGTTACTCAGCATGGTAGTAATTAGTTATTAAGTCCCTGGAACCTGTTACGAACCTAGGTAAAGTACGATTCGCTTGCCCTATATCCATTACTATCTAACCCAGACATTGGAAGTGGGCTCGTATTCTAGCTCTGGCTCTAGGAAGGGTTCCGTCGAGGACTCAAGGGCGCATCCGAGACTGATTTACATTCTTTTTTTCTTCTTTTTCGGCGAAGACAAGTTAGCGTCCGCGGATTCGCCGGACTAAATTGCCAATCACTTCTCCCCCCTCTATGACGCACATGGGAAGGACCGAACACTCACTAACAGTTCAACAATCTAACAGATGACCTCATGAATCCCTCCCCCCAGACCTTGGGCCTATGAGCGTTTTGTATCCATATCTCTGGTTATTCATTCATTATTATTTGTCTGCGCTTTTATCTTCCGGGGAGCATGCATTACGACCCCAGGGTACGGTAGGGCAGGACACGGCCATAGCGTACATACATACCTACCTGTACGGAGTAGAGATAGATCCCTTTTATCGTGCATCGTGTAACGATGATTCCTCAGTTGTATTTATATCTAACATGGAAGGTAGTAACTAGTACATAAATAACGGATACCGAGGAAAGGGTTAGGTAGGTTGGCTCTGATGACCAGCTGGTCGCCTGGCCTGTGCCAATGCATGTAAAACAAGTTCGGAATGCGAAGGCAAAACCCTCAATACGGAGTCCTACCAGATAAGTCCTGTACCTAGTACCGTGACTAGCGATTGTTTACTCCTCAAGTAAACCCCTAGTCTCCTAAGTACCACTGAACCAGGGATTTCTTTTCCCTGTTAGCTTGCGGTGTGATAAGACCAGAAGTTGTTCTAGTTACTCCGCTCCTCCGCACGCGATGGGGTTCACTCCGGTATTATTAGTAGATCGGATTCGATCCTCGGTGTTGAAAGTTGAAAGTTGTTCGCGTGCCAGTTCAAGAAAAATAAAATAAATTCAGAAAAAAAAAACTGGGATAGCGTGCTCTTGGCAAACCAGAGAGTCTGAAGAAAACAGAGTGGTCGAACGACAGGCGATGAATGACGATCAGGTGCCAGAGAGGAACGTCGGCGTGGTATCTCGGCAATCACCATCTGTAGTTATGGGCGGACTGCGGAGTAAGTAGTATTCGGATTTCAGATTTATTTGATAATCGTTACTACCATTGCCTGTGCTGGGACCTCGGATCCAGGGATGGAACGAGGACTACTCCTAACTAGAGAGCACGCCGTTGGAAGTCCGAGGAGCTAACTAGATAGGAAACCGTAGGAAACCATAGGAACCGCGGTCGTCTGGCATGCTTAATAGAGAATCCACCGGGGGTCTTTACGGAGTAGTAAGAGAAAAATTTGATCCATGTCTAATTTCTGAGTGAGAATATGAGATTAACAGGATAAGAGGTTTATATCTGTTTCCGTATGTACGGAGTAAGAAGGCGACCTTTTTTCTTTCTTTCTTTCTTTCTTCAGCCTGTGGACATCCATTTTCTCTCTCTTTAATTTCCTTGGGTTCTCCCCAACGGTACGGAAAGCTCGGTATTGATCGATGCCAAGCACACAGGGCAATGTGCCATCCGCCGTTCAAGAACATGCAGATTGCAGGACAAGATACGGAGTACTCGGTAGGGCAACGGAGTCAAAGTAGCATCGACATCAGCATCCGCATCACCACTGATCGCCCTCGTGATTAGGATCGTGAGGATGCTTACGGAGTAGTATCTGTAGTTACGACTGAATCCAACAGGTGGCAACAACGCTGCCAATGCCAATAATCCGACCAACAGGTGTATCGGTCGGAGTGACCAAGAGGGGCGGATATCAATTCGGAACACTAGTATGAACTGTACAGTAGTGCCAGTACTAGTTCGCCGGTAAGCCCTGTTTGGCGCAGCATCACTCACGGAGGACGGAGAGGACTCAGATTTGGCCTATCAGCTAATAATAAAGACTCCATTAGGCAGCCAATTATTGCTATGAATTGGTTAGGAGAATGAGACCGAGACCCTGAGGTACAACTTGAGCAGTTGGAATCATATCCATATTCCATCATCAGGGTCGAGCAGAGGACTCGATCCAGTATCTATTCCGTAACTACGGATACTCCGTAGCAATAATGGATATGGATCATGGATAAATTGATCAATGGATGGATGGATAAAGTATCCTATCACTACCCCGTCGGTACTAGTACCTGGGTCAAAGTGTCGCTGTTTCAAGGTACAATAGATAGAAATTTAGTGTGTACCTCGGAAACTTCGGGCTACTGATAGTACTCCGTAGTACAGTACACCGTAGATAAGCACCTCGCACTATTTCCTTCTCTCAGGAAGGTCGTAAATGTTCCGGGGGATACGGATACTCACTGATGGAGTGACGAGAGGAGGGGAGAAGAGTGATGAGGAATTCGAAAACGAAAATAAATTAAATGAATTAAACGGACACAGAGAGAGAGAGAGAGAGAGAGAGAGAGAGAAAAGAAAAAAGAAAAAGAGACCAAAACGGACGGATGACAATACGGCGGAAGGATAGTTTACTAGCGGAATCGCCAGGTGCAGCGGTGGCTGGCCGGGTAAGCGAGCTCATTGGCCTCCGCGGACCCTGGCGCCCTTTTCCCAGGGCCGAAATATGTGACGGGGCAACGCTGTGAGTGGCCATCTCCTGGCACCTTGGCTGGGATCACCCACTAAACCTTCCGTTTTCGGTCGGAGGTATGCGGGGACTGGCTGTTAGCGGCGCCAGGCCAAGCGGGGCCAAGGATTCAAGAATGCCTCTGAAATCAGATTAATTTAAAAAAAAAAAAAAAAAAAAAGGAAAAAAGGAAAAAATGAAAACAGCCAGGAAGCCAGCCAGAGACCCCCTCGGCTCCACCACTCCCTGTTTCACGGGCAAGACACGCCTTTCGGGATTAATTCAACGCCTGTTCAAGGGAGGCATCACCGTCACGCCCGCCGTTCCTTCTTTAAACTCCTGCGTCTACCCTGGAGCGCAGCTTTCGCAGCTACACCACGACATCCGCTGCTGCCGCTGTTGTTGCTCTTGTTGTCGCTGCTTTCTCTGCCTTGCCGCTACTGTCGCCGCTTCACCCCCAGTTCGTCTGCCCACCGGGCTCTCCTCTCTGGACTCTCTCACCTCACCTCACCTCACCTCATTCTCTCCTCCTCTCCCCCGGTGTGGTTTTCTACCAGAGTTACGGACGACGCCTTCGATCAGACGCCCGGTTATTTTCCCACCATCGGACCATCCTGACCCGGATCTGTTCTGCCATTCCTTTTCATTTCCCCCCTTGAATTATTGTTGTCTGCCTTAACCTGCTCCGACGGCGCTGGTAAACAACTTCCCCTCCCTCTCGTCATCACCTCGATCACGCATTCACCCCCTCGGCTGTGGCTCTCGACGTTGACTGAAACAACGACAAAAATAAGTGGCTTGCTGGAGGAACACTTTTCTTATTTGGACGATCCTTCACACGACCATAAATAACACCTTGGCCCCGGGATACCTAATTTAGTGACCTGGCTGAGCCCGGACGGACAAAAAGCGCCGAGGATTCCACAATACTCCGTACCGTATTTACCCTTGCGCTCTCATGATACTCTAGCGGATTTCTCTCCCTATTATGCCATAGACCTTGATCCGATCCCAACAACTGGCATCAACTCGCGTTTATCGATCCGCCATCTATTCTATCCGCCAACCCACCTGTTGATTTCGGCTGTGAGCATGGTAGTCGGCTGGCCGCTGTTGCTCTGAGGTTGGTCGGTCGCTTTCGTCAACACAGGTTACTCGCCTCAGTTTCGGCCCCAAATGGCTATTCTATCTGGAAGGGGTTCGATGCTTCGGCCCTACTTAATTCTTCTAATATTCACAACTATCTTTCAGTCAGGGCTCGCTCAGCTCTGTTCTTTCTGGGACGGGGGGTGTGTCGATCCGCTGGCCCAGACGGCGGTCTCCTTGGGGTTTCCCCCTCTCTTTATCGATGACATCAACCTTTACTATGGATTTGACGCCAACTCGCGAGGGAAAGGCCACGAACCGATGACCAAGGTCAGCTTTTGGCTAGGATACGCCGCTCGACGAATCGACAACTCGGTCATCGACAGAAACCGGACGTCCGAAATTGCGATGCGAGTAGGGAACTTGACCGGCACGCCGGCGGGCGATAATAATGGATGTGATGGAGTCTGGGGACCCCAGTGCTCAAACAATTTGAAGTCCGCATTCAAAGGAGCTATCTATGATCTATCGAAGAAGGGAGACTACTATAGCTATCCCTTGGACACGGTTATAAGCCAGATGCTTATCAATCCGCCGTCCCTCGCTAATTGCCCGCCTCCGTTCTTTGACGTTCAGAGCTTTCCTGTTCAACGTATGTACCCATAATATT